GAGGGCCTTCATGCTGTGTTACCCCATGGAGAGAGGCAGAAAGGCAAGAGGGCAAGAGAGCACAAGAGAAGAGAAGGTTGAACTTGCTTTTATAATAAATCCACTCTTTTGATAACAAACTCGCTCCCACAATAAGGAACCCACTCTCAAAATAACTACATTAATTTATTCACGAGGACAAAGCCCTCATGAACTTGATCACTTCTTAAAGGTCCCACCTTTCAACACTGTTGGATTGGGGGTTAAGTTTCCAATATATGAACTTTGGGGGACATATGTAAGCTGCAGTGGGGAGCAAGACTGTAAAACTCTTGTGTGCTGTGGTCAGCATTTTGGTATTTTTCTGACCAGACTATTGATTACAGCATCCAAGAAAAACATTCCTGGTTACTCTGTAAACTTTGTCTCAAATGTTTTGTTTACATATGCCTATGAAGAACAAATGAGAGAATTGGATTCTATGGTTTAAAATGTTTTCTCTGATAATATTGGCATCTTCCCTTTGTGCCATCCTAGATACAATGAAAAATAGGTCCTTCCTGGGATACTTGTAAGTTGAGGGTAGACTCATACCCATATACCCCAGAACTACCCTCCTAAAATCCTAACAATAATAGCAATCATAACAGCAACAATAATAACATGAGGATTGAGTCCAGTATTTTTCAAACAGTAGCTGTATCCCATTAGAGGATACAGAAATCACCTTAGTTTTTGACCAGAATTTTTAAGATAAAACTAGATTTAAAAAACAACATAAAATAAACAAGGGCCTCGTGTGGTGGCTCACACCTATAATCCCAGTGCTTTGAGAGGCTCAGGTGGGAGGGTAGCTTGAGCCCAAGAGTTCAAGATCAGCCTGGGCAACATAACAAGACCCCATCTCTACAAAAAAAAAAATTTAAAAATTAGCCGGGTGTGGTGTGCACACCTGTAGTCCCAACTACTCGAGAGGCTGAGGCAGGATTATCACTTGAGCCCAGAGGTTGGAGGTTGCAGTGAGCTATGATGCACCACTGCACTCCAGCCTGGGCAACAGAATGAGACTCTGTCTCGTTCATTCATTCAGTAATCAATCAATCATTACATTGCATGTAATAAGACTCAGTATTGTTCTGTGAAACTTTTGATTTGCATACGTATGTGCGAGAGGGATGATGTAAAATAAGTTTTTTCTGTGGGCTGCAATCTAAATGGCTGAAAACCAGTGATCTCCTTTACCTACTTCATTTGAGAGGTGAGGGTCAGAGACATTAAATGATGCCCAGGGATACCCAGCTGGTCAATGGCAAAGCTTGAATGAGAACAGGAGTTCCCTAATCCCTGTGCTGGTGTCGGGTCCATCAGAGAAGTTGTGCTGCAGTCAATTACTGGAAGAAAACCAGGGAACACAGTTAGACTTAGTAGAGGCTTTTAGGGAGTAGAAGGAGCAAACTGTTCATTGGCACAAGGGATGGGATTGGTAGATTTGGGGTCTCCATGTATCTTTTATCATAAGCCAAATTAAATTACTTATTGAACAGTGGGCACACTGCACATTTGGGGTATTCAATCTTAAACTTGCCATTATCTCCTCAAAATAATAACCCAGTGATACCTACAATGTATTCAAATTGAACAGCCACCAGAAGTCTTGCTGAGTATTTTAGCTCTTCCAATTGAAGTAGGCCGGGTAGATTGGAGAGTGAATGATTGATGGCTACCTGGGTTGGTGCTTGCTAAGAAGGTAGAAGAAATCCTTTTTGATGCTGGGAAGTAGAACATTGTTATGCCTTAAGTTACTACGGCCTATTGGGAAATCAGGGCAGCAACCAGGCACACGCAAGGTAAACAGTCTTCACCATCAGCACCAAAGACTGTGTTGGTGGGGCAGCCCTTGCCCTGGGAATGGGTGCTTATTCCTTCCTTTAACATTGACAATCTCCTGGCACCCGAGTGCTGTGGAGTCAAAGGCACCCACCATGAGGACTAGCCCTCCGATCAGTGTCACTTTTCCCTATAACAGGTGGGCTGATGTCTTCCAGGACGTGACTTAAGAAGTCTGTTTCAACACTTAAGTGGACATATAGGAATAACATTTATTGGGTGTCGGGCGGATGGGAGGGGGTGGGGGGCATGTGCAATATACGTAACCTTAACATTTGTACCACCATAATATGCTGAAATAAAAAAAAAAAGTCTATTAAAATGCATATATGCCCAGCAGTGGGGACAAGTTAGTTAAATTCACCTAAGGATGTAAAGGTACCAGACTCCCGTTTGTAAGAGCAGATTTTGAGTGAGAACAGGAGATTTGGTAAGTTACTAACTTAGATATTTGATGACGGCTAAAGGAAGGATTTCAAGGAGAAGAGGAAAAAGGGAAGGTGCTGTTGCTGCTCAGGACACGCTGTGTCCTCTTCTCAGTGTTGCTTATAGCTCAGAGCTTCACGTCCTTGATCACACACAGGAATCCTCTGGGGATCTTATGAAGATGCTAATTCTGGTGCAAGAGACCTGGAGTGGGCCCTGTTTCTAACAAACCCCCAGGCAGTGCTGCCCTAACAAGTCTGAGAAGCTTACTTGAGTAGCAAGGGTTTGTGCCCACTCCTACCAGATGGTTCTGTGCCTCAGGATTCTTTGCAAAAAAAAAGACAAAATACAATTTGATGTGATCTGTGCTTGCCCTTCTCCCCCCTTCTGCTTTTAAAAATGTAACGTTTTAATGCACGAACGTGATATTTAAACATAGACATGTTTGAGACCTGCCATCAAACAGAAAGCACAGAAGTTCAGGTTCAGAATTTCATTAGCAGGAGGTTAGTTGATGTATGTTTATTATTTTAAAGACAGCAGGTCATTAATTATGAATTTCACAATCTTATCTGTGGAATAATGGAATGTGTTTCTGAGTGAGAGTCAGTTTGGGATGACCAATTTTAATGAGAATGAAAGAGGAAGAAAATGTCCTTTCAAAAATGTAGTCATTTTAAGGTTAAGGGACTTTTTATCATGAAAATGTTCTATGCACTTTTCTGATATAGTTATTTATTCTAAATATTCACAAAAGTCACACACATCAGCTAATCTTGTTGGCAAATAAATAAACCAAATTCTCTCTTTGCTTTCCAGACTTCATTCCCCACCCCCTAACTTAGCCAAAGCAAGTTTTACTCTAAATTTTTTTAAAAATGTGTGTTAAGAACAAAACAAAGAAGCTTCTTTTTGGATTGGCAAGTGCTAAAATAATTTTAAAATATTAAAATTGCAAATTAAAGTAATGGAAAGTAATATTGCTTAATAAACAGTGATTTTCTTGAATACTTTTCTTGAATAATTGAAAGTCTGAGTAGAAAAAAAAACAAGACACTTGCCTTGTAGAGAGCCTTTAGGGTTTAAGATCCATGCTATTTATAGGAAAGGCTGTGGCAAAATTTAATTTTAGTTGGGAGACCTGGGTACAATTTAGATCATCATATAATCATGTGTCTGGGCAAAAGAACAGCTTTTTTTCCTTCTGAAAATGCACATTTTTATTAATGTTTTAAAATGCCTAATTCAACTAAATTTTTTAAAAAGTATTGGTCTTGTCCAATTGTTTTCTTATTAAAAATATCCATCGTCTTAAGTAATTTTTTTCACATTAGTTACGTGGATTAGCTTTCTACTTGCTACTGTAACAAATTACCACAAACCGAGCCACTTAAACAGCATATTGCCTTACAGTTCTGTAAGACAGAAGTCTGACCAGGCCAAAGTCAAGGAAGTGGCTGGGGCGTATTCCTTTCAGTAGGCTCTGGGGACACTCTGTTTCCTTGCCTTTTCTGGCTTCTCAAGGCCACCCACGTTCCTGGCAGAGTGGCACCTTCTCACAACACTCTGAGCACCTCTTCTGCCTCCCTCTGCTGCCAATGTTAAGGACCCCTCATGACTACACCGGACCCACCCAGATAATACAGGACAATCTCGCTATTTTAAAGTCGACTGATCAGCAACCTTAATTCCCCTTTGCCATGTGACATAACATACTCTCAGGTCCCAGGGATTAGATGTGGACATCTTTGCATGTGTGTGTTTGGGAGGCCAGGGAGCAGGGGGCATTATTCTGCCTACCACAGTATGTCTTGCCAATATTTAAAAGCAGTCTTCTAAGAGAGGACTGTTGCAGTTTGGGTGCTCAAAGCATTTGTGTAGTGTCATTACACCAAAGTTACGTTCAGGTTGCATTACTCACTAGTGGAAAGTGCTGCAGCCCTTAGGAAGCAAAGCATTTCTTTTTCAGTTGCATTTACATTGATTCCCATATACTCCTTTTCCAGTAATGATTTTTATGTTACAATCTCGGAGGATAACAAACCTATATGATTAAATGGACTCTTCAGTTTCTGTGACCTACTCAAAATTTGTTGAGATGGAGAGGGTTACTTGGATAGCTTAGCGCAGTGTTTCTCAAATGCGGCGATTTTGTTCACCCACAGGACATTTGGTTGTCACAAGTGGGGGAAGGGTGCTATTGGCATCTAGTAGGCAGAGGCCAGGGATGCTGGTAATCGTCCTACGAAACACAGGACAGCCCCCACAATAAGGAATTATCCAGCCCAAAGTGTCCATAGTGATGAGGTGCAGGAATCCTGGCTTAGTGAGATGCCACCTAAAGCACCCATCCCCAAACCTTTTTTTTTTTTTATGCTAACTCTTTACATTTCAAAAAATTAAGTATTACACTAACATCTACTTAGTGATAAGATATTAGTATGTGGATTAGAATTGTATTAGTATACTTATTTGTATATTGATTGAATTAGATATTATACTAATTAGATAATGAACCAGTAACTAAAATTCTGCTCAAAAGGTCCGCTGGAAGAAACAGAAGACGGGTGGATCAGGGTGCACCAATCCATGTGAAACGTGAGAGGCAATGTGCTAAAAGAAAAGAAGCAGGACTTGGAGGCTTAATTGATGAAATTGATACCGTTCTCTTGTGGTTCTCATCTCCGCCTTCTTTCTCAACATTGCAGGTGTCCCTGGCTCTATGCCAAACGCATCCTGGACAGGTAACCTCAGAGCTATAAAGTGGATTGACATGGAAGACAAACACGGAGGCTGCCACGGTGAGGCTCTTGTTTCATGCTGTTAGGCCACTGCTTGTTGGTGTTGGCATGAAGGTAGCTATGGAATCCAGGGGTTCTCGTGGAGAGAGAACTGCCACTATATTTAGACCAATCTGCTAGTTACTAGAGAAGCCAGAGGCTTCAAGACACAGTCCTTCAAAAATACATTTAAACATCTCAACAATGTTCTCCAGCTTATAATTACCTAGAGAGATATAGGGGTGAGTTCCAGTTATAATGGCACTTTCTCCTTAGTAGTTTCCACTTTCTTATTGTTCATTCTTCTTGCTGTAGAGGGAAAATGATCATTAATAGAAGCGATGTCATGGCATCACCACAGAGCAAGCTGGACCCCATCCCTCAGGTCAGCCTCTGCTCCCTCCCCAGCCAGGCCTCCGGTGGCTTGGAGAGCTGGTGGCTTGAAGAGCTGTCGGTGTTTGCTGGCTCTGGCATGATGTCAGGTGACACTAACGGGAAGGGTTTTCCTCCCAATGGCAAGGACTAGAAACCCTAAGCTGCTTTCATTTCTGTAGAACCTTAGGAAGAAGGATTTTTATCAGTTCTGCACACATTCCATTCAGAATATTGCATGGCACATGGTGGGCATATGTGTTAATTTGCTAGGGCTGCCATAACAAAGGAGCACAGACTGGGTGGCTAAAACAATAGACATTTATTTTCTCAAAGTTCTGAAGGCTAGAAATCCAAGGTCAAGGTGTCAACAGCATTGGTTTCTCCCGAGGTTTCTGTCTTTGGCTTGTGGATGGAGGTCCCTGTGTCTTCTCCCGAGGTCTCTGTCTTCTCCCTGTGTCTTCACAAGGTCTTTCTGCCCTCTGTGTGTATCCGTGTCCCTTATCTCCTCTTATAAGAATCCAGTGATAGTGGATGAGGGCCCGCTCATGTGACCCCATTGTAAATTAATTGGCTATTTAAAGACTCTGTCTTCACTCTGAGGTTCTGCTAGGTGTAAAGATTCGATATATAAATTTAGAGGGGCACACGATTCAACTTATAACATGCAATAAATATTTATTCAGTGAGCGAGTGAGTGAATGAATGAGAATGTGGAGGTTTGGCCTTTTCTCTCTGTGGTCACATGTCTTTGCCTTCACTCTTCCACTTACTCTACAGCTTCACTCATAAGTCCACCTTATCTATGCCTAACATTTCAGGTGAAAACCTCCACAATGCTGCATCTCTACGACCGTCCATCACATCCAACCTCTTTCTCGCATGAATCTTGATAGTCTGTCGCCTTCTGCTGTGGGCAGCAATATACTTAAGTCACCATACAGAAATTTCAGCCTACCCTTACACATATTCATATCTTTACCTTAATCAGCTCATATTTTCCCCAGAGGACAGTGCGTGCCCCCTGCCTACATTCTCCCCTCAGCCTGTGCTCCCAGTGGAAGGAGGAAGATGGGGAGAGGAGGTCACTTTACTCTTCAAGCTCCCAAGTCTCTAGAAAACTGACCACCACATAGTCAGGTTCCCAGCGTCTGGGATATGTCATCTCCTCTGCATCCTTCCGTCAGCCACTCTCCCACCCCCAGGACCCCCACAGTCACCCTCTGATCTGCTTCACCACCACCTCTCTAGCAGTAACGCTGAGGGCTTCAACAGCCACACCGGTGACCCACGTGGCATCATTACCTTGCAGCGCTAGCTGTCCCCCTACGGAAGCTCCCATCTCACAGGAGAGACTGCTCTTCAGTCCTCCTGTCATTACCTGTATCCAAGCCCTATCCCAGCAGAGAGGGTGTATGCTGGTTGGGTTTGCATTTTTTGTAGGAACCTTATTGATCCCATGATAGGCAGTGGCCGAGAGAACTGGCCCTAGCCTGGAAGCTCTCTGAGGGTATAAAGTTTGGGTAGCCCAAGCTCCTTGTAGACAAACATCTCATTTTTCTTCTTTTAGTACCTATTATGCCAGTGAACATCTGAAAGCATTATGTGGTCCAGAGCATAAAAACTGTCTAGTGCCCCAAACCACTATATAGGGAAAAGAAAAAGGCATAAGCAAGGAGGCAGAATATTGCATGCCAAGGCTGTGAGTCAGCAATACGGTCTGGTCCTTTTCCCGTTGTCTGTGGGTAATGAGGACTTGTTCCATGCCACATCCATATCCCTTATATCAGCCTGCTTAGCACTTAGAGTGGTCTTACACTTGGAGCACACATCTCTTTACAATCTCTTTGTCATCTCTGCTAGTGCTCTTCACCAACTTACATCCTATTTATTTTACTGTCTTCCTCCCGAGAACAGAACAAAAGCTCTAAGAGGGCTAGGATTTTTGTCCAGGATTTTTGCCATATCCCTACACCTAAAACATGTTGTTGTTGTTTAACAATTGATTGTTTGCATTGGAATTTCCAGAGATTCAACATTTCCAGCTTCTTCCTTCTACTAGTTTCCTCCTAAGGACCTTCTGTCTGGCCTGTGTGCAGTGACCAGCCTTTCCATGCTGTCCTCATCAGCTCACTGTGGGTTCCCTTCCCACTCTGACCCTACAAGGCTGCTTTCCTGAGCAGTCATCACCGCTGTCTACTTTTTGCCATTTGTGCTCCCCTGGGCAGAAGGTTGCTGGAGAAGATTACAGAACTTCCTTAAGACTCATCCATCACCAGGTCCTGCCATCTACCATCAGCTTCATCCTGGCTGCCTCTTTATCCTTAATTTACCTCACTGTTTTCGTGGTGCCCTTCCTAGGATACACCTTTTCTGCTTTCCTGCTCAGCTTTAAGCTCTCAAGCTTATGCTAAAACAGCCTTTCCACTCCCAAAAGATAAATCATTTATCTTTAGAAAGAACTTTCAAGACCTTTGATCAAAATTCCATTATCTAGTCCCTTTTCATGTCATCTTAGAGTAGTGCGGACATATTGTTTTATCGTTCTCTCCTGTTTCAAGAGGAAAAGTCACCCATCCTCCCAACCAAAGCCACCAAAGTCTGTGGTGTCGGCTACCCTAAATATGCTTCCCTAAATATGCCCCTGCTTTCTCATCCTCAGCACCTCCCTCTCTGCTTCCTCTTTTCCCTCTCTCTGCAAGTACGTACTTGTTGCCTCTATCTATACGGAAGACCACCAAGTTGTCTCAACCTCTGCTTGCTCCAGGCTGAAACCTTCTGTCCTTGTTCACTTCCGTTTTCCTAAACATGTAGATGATGCCTGTGTTTTCAGTTCTCTCCACCTGGTCGTTCTTTTTTTTTTTCTGTCAGTCAAATTTAGCAATGGGGGGTTGAATACCAACTTTAGTGACACTAATGTTCACCTGGTCATTCTTTAACTTCTTACAACTCTGACTTCTTTCTCCAGTGATTTCCACCTTCTATTGTGCTTCTTCCCAGCCTGTGGAATTAGTCGCTAGGTCCTATCTGTCCTTCTGTGTACTCGTGTCTCTATCCTTCCTTTCCCACTCATGATGCCCACTAACTTTGAACAAGCTCTCTAGCTTACATCCAGTTATTACTGAAATCTCTTGGTTTCTAGTGTACCCTGGAACACATTGCAAAATTAATCTTGCTAAAATCAATTTCATATTTGATTTTTCTGTTGAAAAAATCATCAAGGACTCCACACTTATGAAATAAAAAGTCCAACTCTTTAGTCTAAGTCAATCAACTGGTGGTGGTTCTACTGTGTGCCATAGTTCCACTGATGCTTCCTGATTCTACCCATCTACTAACCACTCATCCTTCTCCATCCTTTTCTTCAACAACTATTAATTGAACTCCTAATATTTACCAGGCGTTGCTCCAGAGGCAGTGGATGCAGAAGTGAACACAATGTTCTGAAATCTCAGCTATTCTGGAGGTTATAGTCTAGTCTGGGCAACAAGACAATAAACAATTGTCTGAAAAGATAAACAAGAAACAAAATATTATTTTCCTTCTTGGCACTGATATATACCAGTTGATAAAAAGTGCCAAAAGCAAAATGAATCAGGAAAGTGGGAAAGGTGGGCAGGGAAACCTCATCGAGAAGGTGGCCTTGGCGCAGAGATCTGAGCTGTGCAGACTTGAGATGTCTGGGGATGTGCCCGGGAGGAAGAGCAAACACAAGTCCTCAGGGAGAGCACGCCTGGTGTGCTTGGAGTTCAAGAGGAGGCCAGTGTGGCCATGGGTTAGAGTGGTGGGAGGTGAGTCCAGAAGGCAAGAGGGGCCAGCCTCTGAGGAGTCTTCTATGCCATTGTTAAGGTATTGAGCAGAGGAGATGTGTTCTGCTTACATTTTAAAACAACCTCTCTGGCTGTTGCACTAAGGATATACCACCAGGGCGACAGTATAGGGAGGGGAGAGCAGTTATTGTTGCAGTTCAGGCAGGAAGATGGAGGTGGCTTGGACCAAGGTGGTACCATGTTTACTCGAAAATAAGACCTACCCATAAAATAAGCCCTAGGAGGATTTCTAAGCATTTGTGCAACATAAGCCCTACCCTGAAAATAAGACCTAGTGATGGGCGTGGCTACACAGCGTATCTGCACAACCCATGCATTTCGTCATGGAGCAGGAAAGAAGACGAGCAGCCCTTCTCATCTGCCCCGTGAGAGCTCTATTGCTGGACATGAGAGATTGGGGCCAATGGTTCTAAAGGAAATAGAGTCGCAAGAAATTCAGGATGGAATTCGGGGTTTGGAGAGTTATGATGATGTTCCAGAAGAAGATGACTTACCTATATTTGAATAAATGTAGATTGTTGTATCATACTTTAAAAAAATAACACATCCCCTGAAAATAAGCCCTAGGGTGTCTTCTTGAGGAAAAATAAATATAAGACCCTGTCTTATTTTCGGGGAAACACGGTAGTAGAGAGGGTGGATGAGAAGTGGTCAAATCCTATTAATATTTGAAGGCTGAATGGACAGAATTGCTGTAGATTGGACGTGGGGTGTGAGAGAAAGGGGAGAAGTGCCCGGGGCACTAAAGAATAGACTTACCGTGGACTGTGATGGGGAACACTTTGACAGGAGGTTTGTGGGTAGAGGATTAGGACATGTTCAGTGCTGACATGTTCTATTAGTGAGGTTTATTACATATCTTAGCAGATGTATAGAGTAGGCACTTGAATAGACCAGACCAGAGCTCAGGGAAGAGGCTTAACCAATGCAACCCAGAAAGACCTCACCCATCTGTACCCTTGCAGAACTTCTCAGCCGTGCCTCTCATTTGATAACGCAGTAGCTCCCCTTACCCACGGGGGATTCATTATAAGACCCCCAGTTGAAGCCCCAAACCAAAGACAGTATTGAACCCTAAGTATACTGTTTCTTCCAATATATACCTATGATAAAGTTTAATTTATAAATTAGGCACAGTAAGACATTAACAATAACTAATAATAAAATAGAACGATTATAATAATATACCGTAATAAAAGTCATGTGAATGTGGCTCTCCGTCCCCTGCAAGTGTCTTAGTTCTTTGGGACTGCAGTTTATCATAGGTACTAAAACCTCAGAAAGCAAAACCTTAGATAAGGGGAGACAACTGTATATGAACTGCCTTGTGACACCTGTCATAGTATTGTATTATTTAACTCATTTTTTTTCAAGTATATATTTGTACCTCTTGTCCTCTTAGATAGAGTTTCATTTCTTTGTAGGCTGGGACTACACAATCATATTTCTTTTGAATCCACTAACACTTGGCACAGTTTTTGCTATGTGGTAATTAGGGAGTGACTCTGCCATTCTGCAAGGTCACCACCCTTAACTTTTGAAAGCGAATATGTCTTGACTGTGTTTCTTGTTCTCTCCTCTGCAGGCCACTACGTACATGGTATTTGTATATACGGAAATGGAGACTTAAAATGGCTGGTAAATTCGCCAAGCCTGTTTGCTAACAAGTTTGAGCTTAACACGTATCCCCTTACCGTGGAATGCCTAGAACTGAGGCTTCGAGAAAGAACCCTCAATCAGAGTGAAACTGCAATACAACCCAGCTGGTATTTTTGATCTATGACAACTCATGACCGAAGGGACATTGCAGTTTGGAAGAAGAGCTTTTCTTTGTGAGACTTTTGCTTTGGTTGTGTTAATGGCTTTAGGACCACGGTCATGGCTTCAGGACCTGGTGACATGATTATACTCAAAATATCCACTGGACACTGTGAAATACGCTAACAGGATGGCTAGGAGTGATCCTGGCACTTTGGCCAGTCTTGCTGTTTCCTCACGCTCACCTCTATATTAGCTTGTTGTTATGATCAATGTTAAATTTAAATGTCGTTAGATCTCTGCATCAGATACTCATTATATATAAATGTTGTAATAAAAAGGAGAATTATAGATAATACTATTTAGCAAAATAAGAATTAGGTTTCTTTGAAGAAGGAATCTTTTATAACACATTAATAGTCACCACTCTGCTGAACTAAACATAAATATAGAAACAGCTTTGGGTAACCCCCCAGTTTCCTTTAAAACATAAGCTACCAGAATGAGAACAGATCTTGCTCCTGAGTTTCAACACTAGCATTTTCAGTTTTCCCACATCCAAACTTGTGTACATAGTATAAAGTCATTAACAAGAGACAAGATGTGCTTTAAGACAGAAGTCACTGCTGTTTCAGTAAAAGGACCTCAGGGGAGATCCCTCAGGGGAACAGAACATTTCTCTATTAGATACCAGAATGTACTCTGCCCTCTTCCATGTTTTCCATTGAGAACACTGAAAAGTCCCTGTAAGAATGAAGCTATGTCTACAAGAGGGGTGCTATTGCATAGATCTAGTCTCAAGACTGGAACACTTCAGAAAAATCACCTTCCTCTACTGTGTACCCCCCTTCAATATTATCTTACTTATAAAATACAGACCAAATTCTACCCTGTGAGGCTTTTAACTACACCATAGTATTCTCTGAGTAGCTCTACAATGCCTGATGCTAATAGGAGTTCCTGGATTTTTTTTTTTTTTTTTTTTTTTTTTGAGACATAGTCTCACTCTGTGGCCTGGGCTAGAGTGCTATGACGTCAAGCTAGCTCACATCAACATCAAACTCCAGGGCTCAAGTATTCTCTTGCCTCAGCTTCCTGAGTAGCTGGAACTATAGGCATCCACCACCATGCCCAGCTAATTTCTTTTGTATTTTTAATCACACAGCTAATTTTTTTCTATTTTTAGTAGAGACAGGGGTCTCGCTCTTGCTCAGGCTGGTCTCGAACTCCTGACCTCAAGCAATCCTTCCGCCTTGGCCTCCCAGAGTGCTAGGATTACAGGCGTGAGCCACCGCGCCTAGCCTAGTGCCTGGATTTTTAAGAGCTTTCAATTGTGGGTGAGCATCTATGTTATTTGTCTCTCATTTATTCACCCATTAATTCATTCAGCCTGCAATCAATTAATATTTCTTGAGTGTCTACTATGTACCAGACATGCTGAGACAAGAGAACGAAAAATAAGATGGTACTTTTTTCACTCTAAAAATCTTGGAAATAATTAGACTTGCTTCTCTGGAGAATCTTATAGAATGATTGTATTTTAACACATTGATATGCAAGGCTGTATATTGTAATATCAGGCCAAGGAGTTCAGTAATTGCAAATTGAGGGTTAAATCAGAAATTATTCAACAGAGGGGGGAAGGAGGAGACAGAAGCTAAAGCCTGTTGTGTTCTAGGCATTCTGCTAGTTCTTTTATAAATTTTGTTTCATGAAAACCTCACAACAGTCATGTGAGCTTCTCATTACTCCCATTTTGCAGATGAAGTAACTGAGGCTAAGTATTAGGAAACAAATTCTCTGTCTGAGAATTGGGATTCTTTTACTGGTCTTCTCAGTTCATTTCCTGAGGTAGAATATTGAGAGAAGGTGAAATAAAGCCATATTTAATATACCAGAGAAAGTAGGTTTTAAGATTGGTCTCAGTGTTGATATTGAGAAACAGTACTGTCACCTCAGAAAAATGTGAAGTCTACTTTAGTATTCCTCTAATCCATCAAGTTCTAAATATTTATTTATTCTAATGAAAAACAATTACTACAACTGATACATCTAATTAACACAATTTTATTTTTTTATAATTGTACCTATTGAATGTTAATCATATTTAAAGGGAATGACTTTGAAGTAAAAGCTTTTTTCCTGCTACTGAAAAAAAAATGGAATTGTATTTGGTGATAAAGGGTTGAGGGGTTGGGAACACACCCAGGGGCAATGGGGAAGTCTAAAAATTGTCTCTTTTCAAGTTATTATTTAAATGACCTAACCTGAGAAAAAGAAATGTTTTACACTGGATCTTTCTTATGTAGAATGAGAGACCTTTCTGGAATAGATGATGTTTACATGTCTGTTGCTGGTCATCTCTCCTATGTCTTAAATACTTTAATATTGGAAGAGCATAGGGTTTGGGCTCGCGGATTTCTGATAGCCCATAGGAATGCCCTGAAACTACTGTATCTGTCTTTGTGTGGATGATGATCCATGTTTTGTTTTCATGGAAATAAATTAATATATTGTTTTCCATCTTTGGGAATATTGTGTATTTTTATTTGATGGTTAAAATCCACTAAAGAGTATGTTTAACAAGGCAATTCTAGTATTAAAAAACATATACATTCATATATACATGCATACCTGTCTAAAAAACTTCAACCACTGAAAAATCATTAAACTTCCCCTTTGCGGGGTATTAGGGAAAGTTATTGGGAATGATACAGAAGAGGATGAAATGCAAGATGGGATTTATTTAAATTGGGCATAACTTTTATAATTTGAGGCAGGAATAAGTTATCTTATTTACTGTCACCTCAGAAAAATGTGAAGTCTACTTTAGTATTCTTATTCGTTTTTTTTTAAATCAAGATACAATTTAGAAAAATTCATGTTAATATTAAATAATTACTTATCAAATACTAAAGTTTTTGAACATTTCAGTTATAAATTTGCTAAATAAATACTACAGATACATGGAATATGATAAATACTAAGGAAAATAACACATTTAAAGGACAGTTTATGTACCATATTTTTAAAATAAAAAAGATTTTAAAACTCAAATGAAAAGCATTTCAAATTATAAAAATAATAAAAATATATGTTCATAAAAATGGAAGTACAGAACACAGAATAAAAAATGAACTACATTCTCTAGAGGTAATCACTTATTTGGTTCATCTTCTTAAATGCCTTTTCAATGCAGTGACATGCACACTTACATATGTATAATCCCATAGCAGTGCTATCGTGGAGTTTCTGCGGTGATGAAAATGTTCTACATTCTGTGCTGCCCAGTATGATAACCACTCATGTAAACTACTGACTACTTGAAATGTGGCTAGTATGATGAAAAATGCTATTTTAAATTTTATTTATCTTTAATTAAATAGCCACATATCACCAGTGGCTACTATATCAGACAGCACAATTTTATAGGTAGATACTAGCTATGTGTATGTACTTGTATACACAGTAGAAACACCACAAACACACATCCATACTGGCATATTTCTTTTTGAAATGATTATATAGGTAAATAATAGAAATTATTACTGTTTGCAATTTACTGTTTTAGACCTTTATTTTTTTTTTATTTCAGCATATTATGGGGGTACAAATGTTTAGGTTACATATATTGCCCTTGCCCCACTCAAGTCAGAGCTTCAAGCACATCCATCCCCCAGACAGTGCCTACCACACCCATTATGTGTATATATACCCAGCCCCTCATCCCCCCCCCCATCTGCCCGACACCCGATGAATGTTATTTACTATATGTGCACTTAAGTTTTGATCATTAGTACCAATTTGATGGTGAGTGCATGTGGTGCTTGTTTTTCCATCTAATCTTTGACAAAGTAGACAAAAACATACACTGGGAAAAAGAATCCTTATTCAATAAATGGTGCAGGGAAAACTGGTTAGCCACATGTAGAAGACTGAAACAGGATCCACACCTTTCACCTCTCACAAAAAATAATTTATGGTGGATAACGGACTTAAACCTAAGGCGTGAAACTATAAGAATTCTAGAAGAAAATGTTGGAAAAACTTATAGACATTGGCCTAGGTAAAGAATTTATGAAGAAGACCCTAAGGGCAATCACAACAACAACAAAAATACCAAAATGGGTCCTGATCAAATTAAAAAGCTTCTGCACAGCCAAGGAAACTATCATGAGAGCAAATAGACAACCTACAGAATGTTTTAGACTTTTAAATAAACCTTTTATTTGAGAATAGCTTTAGAAAAATTGCACAGATAGTACAGAGAGTTCCCATATACCCCGCACTAGTTTCTGTTATTAACATACTACATTAGTATGGTACATTTATTAGAATTAATGAGCCAAGTTTGATACATTATTGTGAAACTTCATACTTTAAATTTCCTTACATTTTACCTAATGTCTTTTTCTGTTCCAGGATTATCCCATCTAGGATATTCTATTAGATTTAGTTATCATGTCTCCATAGGTTCCTCTTGGCTATGAATGTTTCTTAGACTTTGCTTTTTTATTTATTTATTTTTTGAGACAGGATCTCACTCTGTTGCCCAGGCTACAGTGCAGTGGCATCATCATAGCTCACTGCAACCTCCAACTTGTGGGCTCAAACAATCCTCCTGCCTCAGCCTCCCAAAGTGTTGGGATTATAGGTGTGAGCCACCACACCTGGCCTGCTATTGATAATTTAAAGGAAAGCAATTAATTTGGATCCTTTATGTGGTCATCTTACTAAGCCTTTTCATCATTTTTTATAGCTTCCCAATGTATTATACCTCACATTTTCTGGTATTCATCTATAAATAACAATTTCATCCCTTCTTTCTCAATATTTAGTCATCTTATTTCTTTTTATTGTCTTCTTGCATTGTTAGAAACTTGCAGTGCAGTTTTAAATGGTAGCGGTGCTAGCAGTTCTCAAGTGATATTTCCTGATGAAAATTGTGCTATGATGCTACCGACTGAATATTTGTGTCTCCCGCCCCAAATTCATATTCTTAAACCTAATCCCCCATGTGATAGTATTAGAGGGTGGGGGCCTTTGGGGGTGATTGGGTCATGAGGGCTGAGCCCTCATGAATAGGATGAGTATCCTTATAAAAGGGACCGACCCCAGGGAGCTGCCGCACCCCTCCACCACGTGATCGCGGAGCAAGAAGGGGCTATCTATGCACCAGGAAGAGAGCCACCCCAGACACCAAAAGATAAAAGACAACGATAAGACAGAGAGCAGATCCACAGTCCTAAGGTGGTGGTGGTGAAGAAAGTTGGTGTATGGTGGTTAAAATGTGTTTTGTATGTTACAGATCACTGGTTGGAAAATCCTGACTCTGATTCATTTTCTCATGATTTTACTAAGTAGATGTAATGGGTCGTGAAGAGCTAGGAGGAAAAGCACTGATTCCTGCCATGTCTACACATTTAAACTCTGGCACTTAACACCTTTGGTGATGCCCTGCCACATGCCTCTGAGCAGGTGAGGCGAGGTAACACCATGATTAGCATTCACACAGTGGATTTTACAGAGAACCCAGCAGAAGGTATTCCAATTAGACTTTCCAACAGCCAGGCTGTTTATCAGAGATGACCCAGTGGAAGACAAATGGTTTAAAGAATAACCACAGTAACAGGACGAGATTCTTTTGAGAACAGCAATGACTTAACTACAATACAGGCTGGTAGAGAAATATTTGAAAATGTAGGAAACTTACTAAATAAAGCATTGGTGCTGTAATGATACTATGCATGGAAATTTTCCTATCTGGATATGTAATTGAGAAATTTTTCTAAGGAATGGTAGGACATTGGGGAAATGTCATTTGAAAAACTTCCACAAACAGAAAATGGGAATAAAGACATAGTGTTGTGTTGTCAGGGGATTTTTGAGCAGAAAGATTCCATTCATTCTTTTTTATTTGTAACAAACTGCTATGTTCAGGTTCTATGTATATAACTACATATTAAGACTGACAGGTCCTCATAAGTAACACATGATACTAGTTAAGCTCTTAACAAAGGGGTCAGTTTTTACTGGGCATTATTTTATACTTTTAAAGCTTTGTTTAGACTATTTGACTCACATAAGTAAAAAGCCTTGCATTTTTTTTACTTGCAAATATATAGGCACCTCT